GCGGATGATTGGGCATAATGCATTGGACAATTGAACAAACACTCCAATTGTCCGAATGCATTTTAGACAATTGAGCAAACGGCTTGCTTAATTGTCCGAACTGCTATCTCAAAAAATCCTTTCTTACTGGGATATAGGGGAGAGGGCCTCAAGATGAACATACACGGAAAAGTTTTTGTGTGAGCTGTTCTCTCCGCATGGTGAGTTGCTCTACAAAATTGACAGATTGCTGCAATACTTCAATTTGAGAGAACTGCGCGCACAGTGTGAGAGCGCTGATGTCCCACAGTGGTACAGCAGACGTCTCATAAGACTTAACCCCACTATTGCGGGATAGCTGCTCACCCACAATGGTAGAGAAGCTCTCTCACAATCTGGTTCTGCAGGGTGACTATAGTTAGTGTAGCGCAGCGCAACTATAACAAGTCCAGCGGATCACCCAAAAACTTTTCCGTATAGTTTTGACTTTGTGCTCTAGAATCCAAACATTTTAGGATATTTAAAACTGGTGCATACCGTATGAAAGTAAAATTAATAAGGTATCCTTTGGCCATAAAGAAAAAATTTTAATTTGCAATAAAACATTTTTTAAAGAATTTTTTCAAATTGTTGTAAATTTCGATTTGAAAGAAAGTGGCTCCAAGATGGACACCTTCATAAAATAATGCATTAAAAACGGGTAAAATAAAAATAAAATATCAAGTAAGGATTTTTAAACCAATTTTCTGTTTCTTTATTATATTTTTTAAAAGTTCTAACATTTTTTAAATGTTAAAAATTAAATAATATTGTAAGAAAATTAATTTTAAGGAGAATAATTGAATTGAATTAATTTATTTAACTTATCCAATCTAATTTATACTTTATTCAATAAGAAATTAGTTATTTTATAATTAATTAAAAGAAATTAACAATAAATCCAGCTCTAAGCTGAATTATCTGAGTCACAATTCGGACATTCTTACCAGGGTCCGCAGATTTTGGCTATATAAGAAATTTTTAATAACGATCAGAACTGTTGGTAACTATATCGATAGATTTCAATTCTCTATTGATAACAACATAATTTAGAAGTAGAAAAAGAAAAAATTTCAATTATTAGACTTAGAGCATTATTAAGAAACTGTAACATTGAAAATAAATAAAATTAAGAAATTCAGGTGTGATGTCCATCTTAGGGCCACCAGCCCTGTCCATCTTAGGACCAATGACCCCATTTTTTGGCGCAAATAAAAATTATTTACAAACACAGTGTTAACCGAATCATTTTAGAATACTATTATACGATAAATAAATAAGGTTATTACGATATGCACCTATTCGAAATCAAAAATATAGATAATTTTACCGACTGAAATAAAAACTGTTACAAAACTTTTTAAAATGAAAAATCCACGTGATATGTGTTACAGGAAAAAAAACAATTCGTTCCGATCCGTGTTTATATAAAAAGCATCATCTAAACAAACTAAATCAGTAAAAAAAATTACGAGACGATATATACTTATACGAAAATTTTATATCAAATGTCTATTTTGGGGCCCTCTCCCCTAGAACTTTTAGTACACGTAAAAATACAATTTTTCACACGATACATTAATTAAAATTCAAAACGGAAACAGAAATTTTGCTTGTTTTTCGAAAATACTGATTTTATGACTTTTCAAAAATAGTGGGAAGTTGTGCTCCACCTATGAAAATTGAAGAAAAAGACACATCTTTTATAGAATATTCTTTATTTAAATTATGAAATGTGAAAAAGTAAGATAATTTACATAAACTAAAGTTATATATAAGATAATAAAATATTAATTTTAGATAATTTAGATAAAATTAAATTATTTCAAAAATAATTGAATTAAACTATAGGTAATTAATTGCATTAACAGTGAATACAGATGTAAGAAGTCTCATTTCACTAAAGAACAATATTTAAATTGCATAAAACATTCTAATTATTCATAAATAATGCGAAATAAAAAAGAGAGTGCGTATTAGAATTAAAAACTTTTAAATATGATGTAAGGCACAACTCCCCACTTTCTACATTTTCAAAATAGTCATAAAATAATTAATACATCGAATGTTTATGCGAATTTCTTTTTAGTACATCGAAAAGTTATTAATGAGAGCTAATTTTTATGCATTAAACATTGTGATCACTTTGAAAAAATTAGTGGAAATGACCTAAACATAAAGAGACAAAAAAAATTTCAGAAACAAATTTTAACTCACTATCTGGAAAGACACAACAAATGCTTCCAAAAATAACGAGTACCACTTAAAAAGTTAGTTTTTAACGAGAAATAAATATGACAATAATTGAAATTTGTCATATTAAATCCCATATTAAAAATATTAATGTGGAGCATGAATCCCCACTCTCAAATGCATCAACTAAAAAACTGCCAGCCCCAATTTTCGAGTCAGTACCTCGAACAATAGAGCTATGATAAAATACGGAATCAGATACCGAAGATTTACTTTTAAAAAATAAAAAAAATTTCTTTAAACAAATATATATATATATATATATTGAAAACTAATATATAGTGAGGATGGTAATTTTGTTTTTTGAATTTAATATTGTAGTTACGATGGTAAATAGGTTTCTCCTATTAAGTATTTCATGAACCTAATCATATCTGATAAGGTAGAAATTTTATTGACCAACAATCAAATTTGTATGTACGAAATGGCGATCCACTTTTTTCAGAAACCATGCACGAAAAATATTTGTATGAGTTTCGTACATACAAATTTGACTGTTGATCAATAAAATTTCTACCTTATCAGATATGATTAGGTTAATGAAATACTTAATAGGAGAAACCTATGTGTATAGATTTAAATGGCCCGATTAAATAAATGTTTAGTGTGAAACTTTCCTCAACATTTATTCAAGTGGGACATTTAAGTCTTTATACAATTTTCACTAAACATTGCAATTAAATATTCCAAAAATTTCAAATAAATCTTTAAGAAAGTTTCAGTGCTGTGGGGGCTGTTTATATTTTTTTAGAAAATTGCATAAGTTGAAGATAAATTCATTTTGACTGCTTTACGATTTTAATCATTTTTAAAAATATAAAATTTATTCTCTAGTACATGACAACAAATTCTTTTATAAAAAAATTTTTCCACAAAATTTTTGATATCAAGTTAAGGTAAGAAATTTATATTTATACATAATAATTAGAGGCAATTGTTTTCCTACAAAAATTTTTTTAAAAATATTATGCATTAATTTATTTGGGTGAAATTCCGAAAGCGTTTTCCCTCCGATTTTAATGAAACTTGGTATATTAACGTTATTTGGTGCCATGATTACGAAAATGATAGTGAAAATGGGCGCAAATGTGATTATCATGATAAAAACCATAAAAAACTCCATAAAATCATGGTTTTTGCGATTATAAAGTAGAGTAGGGCGAGATCACCATTTGGCTTTTATTTTCGTATTCTATGACTTAATTTGTCGTTTCACGTAAATCTCACTTATAACAGTGTGCATATATGCCCTAAGTTTCGATCCGATTAATGAAGAAGCAACCGAATGATAGAGTGATTACTGAAATCGAAACTCATTTCACAATTTTTTTGTAATTTTCGAGATTTCATTTTGAGAAAAATTTCATCAAAAAAAATTTAACGTAATTATTTCTTCTTAATTTCAGTCTTCTGAATGTGATGGTGTTGTTTATTTTGCGATGTTTTAAGTATTTTAAAAGTTACTGTGTATTCCATAGGCCCCCGTTTCAGTAGTCGCAAAAATGAGTGGTAAATGAAGAATGTAACAGTCAAAATTTTGGAGTATGTACTTATTATAATTGAAAATAAATATTAATTATAATCAAAACACAAAATTTATCAATTTTTGTTTACATAAGTACTACAAATTCCAATGACACATTATATTCATCTATACTATACTACGTACGGCCCTGAGTGTTTACAATATTTGACCGCCAAACGGCTTGAAGGTCGAATTCTGAAGGTGAGAACCAAGTCTTTTCCATTCTCACCTTCGGGAGTTCCAGTGTATATACACTTGGGGCGAGATCACCACTTGCAAGGGTAGCGTAGAATGTCTGTAGCTAGAAATAATGAAGAGACCGGAACTTGCGTCAATGGAGTAAAATGTAGCCAAAGAGTCTATCTTTCAAACCTTTTCTGGTTTTTGTCTTTATCGGCTCTGAGACCGGAGATATAGTTCGAAAACTGAAAAAGTGGTGTTGTCGCCCACTTTACTCTATTGTAGAAAACGAAAATTTCGATTTTTTGCTAAAAAAATGTATGGCATAAAATGTGTGTTTTTAAAAGACCAACAACTTTTATTTAAAACGTTTTTCGAAATTTTGCGTCTTTTACGAGATAATCGCAAAAAACCATGATTTTATGGTGTTTTTTATGGTTTTTACCATGATAATAACATTTGCGCCAATTTTTACTACCATTTTCGTAAACAGGGCTCTAAAATACGTTAGTATACTCAGATTCATTAAAATCGAAGGGGAGACGCTTTCGGAACTATATCCACCCCAAAATACAACTAAAAATGTAGAAAAAAATGACACCCCGCTACAAGTAGAGAAAACCCCTATTACCACCGTTAAGGCAAACCCTATCATAAAAAAGTCCCAAAATATTCAATTCTTCTCAGACAGACAATTTTATTGTATATTCTTAAACAAAAAAAACTAAAAATGTAGAAAAAATTGACACCCCAATACAAGTAGGGGAAGACACTATATAATTTATTTTATGATAAAATCAATTTTTAGTTTGAGGTTATACTAAAGGGTTGACCGTATTAAATGCAAATTTATAAAAATGAAAAAAAATTATAAATGATCACAAAAAATAAAATTGAAACTTATATATATATATATATATATATATATATATATATATATATATATACATATACATATATATATATATATTTAAAATAAATTAAAGATTTATAAAAAATAAGAAGAATAAAATTTTTTTTTTAGGTTATTCTGCAACTCCAAGTCGCATTCCAAGAGGAACAATGAGATCACGAACATCAAATCTACACAACAACATCTTAGGAAAAAAATTAGGAACACCGATAAACGGTTCCAGTTCACGGACACGTACTCCAACATATCTCATAAGTCCTGCAAGCAGATCAGCTTCCAGGTTTGTTTAATTTCTTAAATTAGTATAAAAATGTAATAATGCTCTTTTTATATATTCCAAATGAAAAAACACGTAGGGGAAGACCTTTATTACCACCCATAAGGCAAACCCTATTAGAAAAAATTCCCAAGAAATTCAATTTTTTTTAAACAGATGATTTTATAGCGAATTATTGCACAAAATACACCTAAAAGTGTAGAAAAAAATTGACAGCCCGATCCGAGTAGAGGAACACCAATTTTATGACCATTAATGCGATTTTCGTAAAAAAAAATTTTCAAAAAAATTCAATTTTTCTTAGGCAGACTATTTTATTGCAATTTCTTGCAGAAAATACACCTAAAAGTGTAGAAAAAAATTGACAGCCCGATCCGAGTAGAGGAACACCAATTTTATGACCATTAATGCGATTTTCGTAAAAAAAAATTTTCAAAAAAATTCAATTTTTCTTAGGCACACTATTTTAATGCAATTTCTTGCAGAAATTACACCTAAAAGTGTAGAAAAAAATTGACAGCCCGATCCGAGTAGAGGACAACCAATTTTATGACCATTAATGCGATTTTCGTAAAAAAAAATTTTCAAAAAAATTCAATTTTTCTTAGGCAGACTATTTTATTGCAATTTCTTGCACAAAATACACCTAAAAGTGTAGAAAAAAATTGACAGCCCGATCCGAGTAGAGGAACACCAATTTTATGACCATTAATGCGATTTTCGTAAAAAAAAATTTTCAAAAAAATTCAATTTTTCTTAGGCAGACTATTTTATTGCAATTTCTTGCAGAAAATACACCTAAAAGTGTAGAAAAAAATTGACAGCCCGATCCGAGTAGAGGAACACCAATTTTATGACCATTAATGCGATTTTCGTAAAAAAAAATTTTCAAAAAAATTCAATTTTTCTTAGGCAGACTATTTTAATGCAATTTCTTGCAGAAATTACACCTAAAAGTGTAGAAAAAAATTGACAGCCCGATCCGAGTAGAGGACAACCAATTTTATGACCATTAATGCGATTTTCGTAAAAAAAAATTTTCAAAAAAATTCAATTTTTCTTAGGCAGACTATTTTATTGCAATTTCTTGCACAAAATACACCTAAAAGTGTAGAAAAAAATTGACAGCCCGATCCGAGTAGAGGAACACCAATTTTATGACCATTAATGCGATTTTCGTAAAAAAAAATTTTCAAAAAAATTCAATTTTTCTTAGGCAGACTATTTTATTGCAATTTCTTGCACAAAATACACCTAAAAGTGTAGAAAAAAATTGACAGCCCGATCCGAGTAGAGGAACACCAATTTTATGACCATTAATGCGATTTTCGTAAAAAAAAATTTTCAAAAAAATTCAATTTTTTTTAGGCAGACTATTTTATTGCAAATTCTTGCACAAAATACACCTTAAAGTGTAGAAAAAAATTGACAGCCCGATCCGAGTAGGGGAAGACCCCTATTATGACCTTTAAAGCGTTTATCGAAAAAAAAAATTTTTCAAAAAAATTCAATTTTTCTTAGGCAGACTATTTTATTGCAATTTCTTGCACAAAATACACCTAAAAGTGTAGAAAAAAATTGACAGCCCGATCAGAGTAGAGGAACACCAATTTTATGACCATTAATTCCATTTTCGTAAAAAAAAATTTTCAAAAAAATTCAATTTTTCTTAGGCAGACTATTTTATTTCAATTTCTTGCACAAAATACACCTAAAAGTGTAGAAAAAAATTGACAGCCCGATCCGAGTAGAGGAACACCAATTTTATGACCATTAATGCGATTTTCGTAAAAAAAAATTTTCAAAAAAATTCAATTTTTCTTAGGCAGACTATTTTATTGCAATTTCTTGCACAAAATACACCTAAAAGTGTACAAAAAAATTGACAGCCCGATCCGAGTAGAGAAACACCAATTTTATGACCATTAATGCGATTTTCGTAAAAAAAAATTTTCAAAAAAATTCAATTTTTCTTAGGCAGACTATTTTATTGCAATTCCTTGCACAAAATACACCTAAAAGTGTAGAAAAAAATTGACAGCCCGATCCGAGTAGAGGAACACCAATTTTATGACCATTAATGCGATTTTCGTAAAAAAAAATTTTCAAAAAAATTCAATTTTTCTTAGGCAGACTATTTTATTGCAATTTCTTGCACAAAATACACCTAAAAGTGTAGAATAAAATTGACAGCCTGATCCGAGTAGAGGAACACCAATTTTATGACCATTAATGCGATTTTCATAAAAAAAAATTTTCAAAAAAATTCAATTTTTCTTAGGCAGACTATTTTATTGCAATTTCTTGCACAAAATACACCTAAAAGTGTAGAAAAAAATTGACAGCCCGATCCGAGTAGAGGAACACCAATTTTATGACCATTAATGCGATTTTCGTAAAAAAAAATTTTCAAAAAAATTCAATTTTTCTTAGGCAGACTATTTTATTGCAATTTCTTGCACAAAATACACCTAAAAGTGTAGAAAAAAATTGACAGCCCGATCCGAGTAGAGGAACACCAATTTTATGACCATTAATGCGATTTTCGTAAAAAAAAATTTTCAAAAAAATTCAATTTTTCTTAGGCAGACTATTTTACTGCAATTTCATGCACAAAATACACCTAAAAGTGTAGAAAAAAATTGACAGCCCGATCCGAGTAGAGGAACACCAATTTTCTGACCATTAATGCGATTTTCGTAAAAAAAATTTTTCAAAAAAATTCAATTTTTCTTAGGCAGACTATTTTATTGCAATTTCTTGCTCAAAATACACCTAAAAGTGTAGAAAAAAATTGACAGCCCGATCCGAGTAGAGGAACACCAATTTTATGACCATTAATGCGATTTTCGTAAAAAAAAATTTTCTAAAAAATTCAATTTTTTTTAGGCAGACTATTTTATTGCAATTTCTTGCACAAAATACACCTTAAAGTGTAGAAAAAAATTGACAGCCCGATCCGAGTAGGGGAAGACCCCTATTATGACCTTTAAAGCGTTTATCGAAAAAAAAAAATTTTTCAAAAAAATTCAATTTTTCTTAGGCAGACTATTTTATTGCAATTTCTTGCACAAAATACACCTAAAAGTGTAGAAAAAAATTGACAGCCCGATCCGAGTAGAGGAACACCAATTTTATCACCATTAATTCCATTTTCGTAAAAAAAAATTTTGAAAAAAATTCAATTTTTCTTAGGCAGATTATTTTATTGCAATTTCTTGCACAAAATACACCTAAAAGTGTAGAATAAAATTGACAGCCCGATCCGAGTAGAGGAACACCAATTTTATGACCATTAATGCGATTTTCGTAAGAAATAAATTTTCAAAAAAATGCAATTTTTCTTAGGCAGACTCTTTTATTGCAATTTCTTGCACAAAATACACCTAAAAGTGTAGAAAAAAATTGACAGCCCGATCCGAGTAGAGGAACACCAATTTTCTGACCATTAATGCGATTTTCGTAAAAAAAATTTTTCAAAAAAATTCAATTTTTCTTAGGCAGACTATTTTATTGCAATTTCTTGCTCAAAATACACCTAAAAGTGTAGAAAAAAATTGACAGCCCGATCCGAGTAGAGGAACACCAATTTTATGACCATTAATGCGATTTTCGTAAAAAAAAATTTTCTAAAAAATTCAATTTTTTTTAGGCAGACTATTTTATTGCAATTTCTTGCACAAAATACACCTTAAAGTGTAGAAAAAAATTGACAGCCCGATCCGAGTAGGGGAAGACCCCTATTATGACCTTTAAAGCGTTTATCGAAAAAAAAAAATTTTTCAAAAAAATTCAATTTTTCTTAGGCAGACTATTTTATTGCAATTTCTTGCACAAAATACACCTAAAAGTGTAGAAAAAAATTGACAGCCCGATCCGAGTAGAGGAACACCAATTTTATCACCATTAATTCCATTTTCGTAAAAAAAAATTTTGAAAAAAATTCAATTTTTCTTAGGCAGATTATTTTATTGCAATTTCTTGCACAAAATACACCTAAAAGTGTAGAATAAAATTGACAGCCCGATCCGAGTAGAGGAACACCAATTTTATGACCATTAATGCGATTTTCGTAAGAAATAAATTTTCAAAAAAATGCAATTTTTCTTAGGCAGACTCTTTTATTGCAATTTCTTGCACAAAATACACCTAAAAGTGTAGAAAAAAATTGACAGCCCGATCCGAGTAGAGGAACACCAATTTTATGACCATTAATGCGATTTTCGTAAAAAACATTTTCAAAAAAATTCAATTTTTCTTAAGCTGACTATTTTATTGCAATTTCCTGCAGAAAATACACCTAAAAGTGTAGAAAAAAATTGACAGCCCGATCCGAGTAGAGGAACACCAATTTTATGACCATTAATGCGATTTTCGTAAAAAAAAATTTTCAAAAAAATTCAATTTTTCTTAGGCAGACTATTTTACTGCAATTTCTTGCACAAAATACACCTAAAAGTGTAGAAAAAAATTGACAGCCCGATCCGAGTAGAGGAACACCAATTTTCTGACCATTAATGCGATTTTCGTAAAAAAAAATTTTCAAAAAAATTCAATTTTTCTTAGGCAGACTATTTTATTGCAATTTCTTGAACAAAATACACCTAAAAGTGTAGAAAAAAATTGACAGCCCGATCCGTGTAGAGGAACACAAATTTTATGACCATTAATGCGATTTTCGTAAAAAAAAATTTTCAAAAAAATTCAATTTTTCTTAGGCAGACTATTTTATTGCAATTTCTTGCACAAAATACACCTAAAAGTGTAGAAAAAAATTGACAGCCCGATCCGAGTAGAGGAACACCAATTTTATGACCATTAATTCCATTTTCGTAAAAAAAAATTTTCAAAAAAATTCAATTTTTCTTAGGCAGACTATTTTATTGCAATTTCTTGCACAAAATACACCAAAAAGTGTAGAAAAAATTGAAAGCCCGATCCGAGTAGAGGAACACCAATTTTATGACCATTAATGCGATTTTCGTAAAAAAAAATTTTCAAAA